ACTAAATTCGGTATAGTAAGGGTTTTTTTATATTTAAAAATCTGTCCGACACTGAAAATCCGTTGTATTGTAAAATTTGTTATATCAAAATTCGTTGTAGAAAGAGTTGACTGTATGTTATAAAAGGTTCAAGCTATAATAGATAATTATAACAATCTAACTAGATATTAATAATATAAATAAAAAATATAAAAATTTTATTAATAAATTGTTAAATAACTATTATAGTATATATACTTCACATTATTACTATTCATCATATATCATATTATAGTTATAATGTAAAAAAATAATTAAGGTTAAAAATAACATTAAGCAAATTTTATTTTATTTAGAATAGAATATCAAATAAAGAGTCACAGTTTATTTAAGAATTAAAGTTTAGAAAAGTTTTAAATTTATTTTAGATAAGTAAAGAAATAGTTGCTATTATTTAAAGTGATAATATTTATTTATTATATTTTAATTAACCATAAATATAACTTTTTTAAGTATTATAATTTAAATATCTTTTCATTTAAGACACCTTCTAATAGTGATATATGCTTAGCTGGCAGAGAATATTTGATTGTTTAAACTGACTGAAACATGATTTAGAATAAGATTTTTGTAATAAATAATGATTATATTTTTAGTAGTTTATGTATAAATTTTATTATATAATACAGATCTTATTATTTTTATATCAGAATATTTTTTTTTTAATATTATTATTGTTAGTTTTTAATTAATTTTATTTAAATAAATAAAATAATAAGTTATGTGTATATGAAATATTTTTATTTTATAATATAGATCTCAGATATTTATAGTAATATTAATTTTAAATTACATTATTATAAAATTACTTAATATCACATCTGATTAAATTATTTATACAAAAAAAAATAAAAAAAAATAAGCAAAGTTACAAAAACTAACATAATATATAAAAACCTGATTTTCATGTCAAATATTCTATCTTCAGTTATATTATGTGATAATTATTTTATGATATTTTATTTCTATTATATTACATAATGCTCTATAAAATATTTTTTAATATTATTTGTTTTATAACAATTTTTTTGTTCTTTAAATCTATATTTAAAAGATTAAATATTTTTTTAATCACTTTTGATTAATCATTTTTGTTAAATATAAATTTAATCAATATGTAAAAAATTTGACAAAAAGTGATATTATGAATGTTAAATATTAATAAAAGATTTAATTTTATAAAGGAATTTAAAGTAATTTTTAAAGGTTAAAAAATTAAGAAAAATGTGTTCTTTAACAATATTATTATAGTTTACACAATTTATTTTGATAAAAAATATTTAAGTAAAAATCACATGTAATTATAATATTAATACTATTCAAATAAAATTTTGTTTAATAATTAAAGATTTGAATTATATATAGATCTTTGAACATTTTTTTTTATTTTTAAAATAGTTAAATAATTGTTCTAATTTTTCATTAATGTATAATGATAATAATGAGAATCATCAAATCATATATTAATAATTTAAAGTTTGATAGTCTAATCATGTAAATAATAAACAATAGATCTAATATAGAAACATTATTACAACACAAATAGATTTTTTAAAATTATTTTACTACTTTTTTAGTTTTAATTAATATCAATATTATTTTTTTTTATTTTAAAAAAAAGTCATACATTCTCATTAACACTTTGTCTTTTTTGTTTATTATTGATAAATCACTAAAGCTATTGATCTTATCTAATTTAACATTAGGTGATTTTTCTGTAAACAATGACTTACTTAAAAACTGTCAGGTGATGTTTATTTATTTATTTATTATTTATCAGCATTTTTTTTTTTTAAAAATAAAAAAAAAATAGTCAATATGATATTTCCAAAAATAGAATGATTTTTTCTAATAAATTCACCTGCCTTTCGTTAAAGCTGGATGCTGGCCTCAAGCATAAAGCTTAAGCATAAAGCTATGCTATGAGAACCTCGGAAAAGTTAAACCTTATTTAGTAATCAAACTAACCAAATATTGAATTTCTTGGTTGGTATGATCATCCGACTATAATTAATAATAAAACGTCGGAATTGGCTATAATTTAAATGATCGGCAAGTGGTCGGATATTTTTTGTAATCGTCGCAGTGTGAGGTCCAGACTAACAACGGGTTGACATGTAAATATAGCGAGCCGAGCGTAAGCACATTATTAGAATTACCTGCACTTATTTTTTTTTGTGAATAATAATTTACTTGGCAAATGTATTATTCCTTTTGGCAAATAATTTTTTTAACAATTAAATTTTTTTTTTTGGTGATAAAAAATTGTGAATCGATGATCAAATTGCCATTTCTCTAATAATTGGCGCTTTAAATAAAATATATTAGAATCGATTAATCGAGTAACCATTAAATCACGCTTATACTATTTTGATTCGATTCCAATCCCTATATAGAACATTTTTATTTTGAAATTCATTTTTTTTGTTTAGTAAGCAGAAAAAAACATTATCGAAGGTTACAATTGAAGTGTTTAAGGGTTTAACGAAAATTTAGCCTCAGCAAACGCTCTGTGACTCAGAGTCAGTCTGGAACCGAAACATATTTTTGAGTTACATTGTTTGATAACCAATCAAAAAATTTTTAAATTGATCGACATCATATGTTCATTTGTATTAACGGTTTTAGGAGAGTCGAAACAGGAACCGCCATCTGCAATATCCTAGATCATTACAGTAAAAAAAATTTTTTTTTATAAAGAGCGAACTATAATAATAATAAAAAAAAAAAAAATAAAAAAAATCGAAAAGGTTACAAAATTACGAATCTGCTCTTAAATGCGGGTAATCGTTTCCGATGGTAACACAATCGTTTCCTGAGTTAACAATAAAAGAAAAAAAAAAAAATAGTTTTCCTCGCCGTCATTACAAAGAATTTATTTGAAAGGACATAAAGATTCTAGTTAAATGTTTTGGTTGCGCTTACGGGATTTAAATTCCGACGTATGTTACAATATTCTTTATTTACCGGGTACAAGCAACTCGGCCCGTCTTGTTTTGGCAAATGTAACCAACGGTAAATGTGTTATTCCCAATAAAGCAAATAAATCTTTTCAATCAAATTCATCCATAAAAAAGCATTGCAATAACGAAAAAACTTTTTTTTTTTTTTTTCCAAAAATAAAAAAATGGGATATTCTTTGAATTTGTTCGGTGATAATGATATTATGGTAAAAGTATGTTATCCAACATCGGAACCACCCAATTTAGCCCCTTTAAACCTTGATGATAATTTATCAAAGGTTCGTAAGGAATTGGAAGTACGTAAATTCATCGATGACAAATTGTCATTTTCTCAAAATAATGTTGAAATGTCCAAAGTAGCAAATTCGGACGAGGGAATATTTCTCTTAAAAGAAATTGTAGTCAAAAAGAATGACCAATTTATTTTATATCTAACTCATTCAAATTTATGGGCATATTTGAATGAAAAGCACAAATTGGATTATGGTCGTACCATAACTAATGAAGGCATTAAAACCAGGGATTTTAAGGTGTTTATTATGAAAGGTTGTGAATTATCCAACCTTGGTACTAAAGAATTTCGTTTAGACACAGTTGAATTTAATTCAACTGAAACGGAAGATTGGATGACGCAAACGAATTTATTACTTAATATTAATAGTACATTGCAAAATTTTATCAAGTTGGGATTATCGGCTGGTATAATGAACAGAAACAGATCAAATTCGGCAACGAAATCAACTTTTCATTATAGAAATTACGGCAAACATTCCTTAAAGATTAACATTAGGAATCATTTGATGCCAACTGAAGAATTTCTTGAGAGAGTAAAGGATGCCATAAAATCAAAAAAGCCGAAAAATTTTATTCGAATTGTTGAGGATTTTGGTCAATTCATACCAACTGAAGTGATCTTGGGTGGAAGAATTTATTTTAAAGATTACGGTAAATCCACAGGAAATTCTACAGAACAATCAAATACTCTTGATGTAAATGTAGGAGCTCCAGATGTTGCGGATATTGGAATATCAAAAAGTGCCAGTCTTACGAAGGAAAATTCAACGGATTATAGATCAAAATGTCTAGAATTCATCGGAGGCAAACTTGAATGCATTGAAAATTTTGATGAAATAGCTTGGGTTAAGTCATTGGATGATTATAACAATTGGGAATGTGTAGAATTTCGAAATCCTATCAGTATCTTTAAACTTTTATCTGATGATTTACAGCGAAAAATATTTGTTTTGCTCGGAAAAAAAGTGATTTATTCGAAAACGGAAACCTGCAAATATTCGTTCGACGAAAGTGATAAACCGGTAATCGTTACGTTAGGGGATGCAAATATCTCAAAAATCCTTCTAAATAAAGATGCAGATTGTAACATCTTTGCAACAGTTGTTGATAATGACGAAACAAATGATGAATTTTTTAATTGTCAAATCTTTTGGCCGCAAGATGATGAACCAAAACTTATCATTCATTGTATTCAAGAGAAGTTTAGAAAACGTCCATATAATTTGAAAATCAGTTGGGTGGTTATTGGCTATGACATACATTTTAATTCTTTACTTTCAGGTTTTAACCTTCATTTGAAAGTTCTAAAAAATGATTTTAATACAACAAATAATCAACCTATGATGAATAAGATATTACCCATCAAAAGTGTTCCCCCTTGTATTGGAATTCCCGTATTAACCAGTTTAGATTCTCCAAATGATTATTCCCTTATTGTTGGTCATCATTTTTATAAGGTTCAAGACAGATATGGTCTATCCGCATTTGCTTACTGTCAAAAAAACAAACGTTATGTCAATTTACCAAGCTTTACTTTTTATACACTTTTTTCTAATGCTTATGAATTGCTTCCTTTTAAAGTTAGAAAACGTGACAAAATATTGCATAGAAACCCATTTGCCGATATTGAAGAACTTACTTCACAACATCAAAATCCAAAATATGTTAGTTTGTATCTACCAAAAAATATTCATTACCACCCAATGCTCTTGAATCAAAGATCTAAGAGAATTAAATTAGAACATGTCAAATGTAGTTGTGATAAAACTTGTTCTATTTGTCATGAAAATACTGCAAAAATCTCATTACATGACAATATCGAATGCATGTTTTTTAATCCATATCTCAGGTATTTATTTACTTTATTGTTGATCATTTTTTATTTATGTAAATAGTATCTGAATAATAACGAGTCATCTTTTGTCTCAAAAAAAACTTTCTTTACGATCTCGGTTTAATGACTTATCAGTAAAACCATACTGTCAAATGGTTTGGATAGTGAGTGGTTCGATGAGGAGGCATTGCAAGTTCCTGGTAAATAATTTACTTTATCAACTATTTTTTTTTTTAGGTTCATTTCCTAAAATATTCACTTAATTTTATTTTCATTTAAAATTTAGTTAAAAAATATTATGGTATTGCCCGAATTAATATTATCGAAGCTAAAGATCTCATGCCTACCGACTTTTGGTTTGGTGGTGGTGATCCTGATTCTTATGTAAAAATTACCAGTGTTTTCAATGGAGTGGAATATGTTAAAACCCGTGTTGTTTATAAATCAATCAAACCAGAATGGCAACAAGTGATTTACATTCCAATTAATGATCTTGATGATCAATTCAAGTTGCAAGTTTATGATTATAGTGCTTTCTTCAAACATAAACTTTTGGGATATTGTGTTCTCGATCTCAAGGATATTATGCAGGTTCGTAAAAGGACCATTAAAGGAAAGCATCTAGATCTTGAGTACAATTTGACATTAAAAGGATCAATTAGAGGAAAGCTTCATTTTACTGCCGATTTTATTTCCTTTTCCGAATTGGAATCCGAACCTACAACTCCTATTTCTAAAGAAACCATCACCCTCAATCATTTGTATCTTTTGATTACTTATCAACGTCAAGATGGTTGTTTTGAATTAAATGACAATGTAGCAAGCTTGTTTAACTTTTCTTCCAAAGATGAGCTGATGAAATCATTTGCCGCTTATGTACAGAATGAAGATAGAGTAAAAGGACTTCATGCTGATGTTTGGAGTTCGGCAGTAATTACAGGTAACTTCACTATCATGTTAAATCATTAGGTTTATTAATTGAATCAGATAATTTACTTATCTCTTTCTGTAATTCCTTCTCTTTATAGCATTCCTTAAAGCTTTATTATGGGATCATCGACGAGAGTGGAATACAGTTTACGCAAAAACTGAAACTTACCTGAGCGAAAATGTCACCAATATTGAAACTGAAGAGCGATTATACAGTTTGGCCAATAAATTTGTCATTGAACACTTTAAAATCTCTGAATGGGAGATTGAAGAGCAAAAAAAGAGTCTCGGTGTCAGTGGTACGTTTGTAACTTTTCTATTCGTTCATTCGTTCATTCGTTCATTCACATATATATATATATATATTTTTGTTTTTTTTTTATATTTATTCATTTATTTATTTTTTAATTCACTATTCGATAGCCTCATCAAAGAAATCGATGATCACTCGTCGTACTGTTACCATACGTCACGTACGTCGTTTGCTTAGCTATCAAAATGACTCGGGCTGTTTCGAACTTCACGATCATTTGTCCGAATCCCTTGGATTCAGTTCAGCCGAAGAGGCGAAGAAAAATTTCGAAACACATTTTGCTATTTATTCAAAAGCTTCAAAACTCGATGCAAACGTATATAGTTCAGCTGTAATGATTTGGTACTTGAGATACGTGTTTGTTGAATACCGAGGCGAATGGGTTGACAAATATATAAAAACTGCTATTTGGGTTAGTGAACAAGTGAATGATGAGCAAGTCGAAAAAGAAGTTCTTGATGCTGCAAGGAGTTTCATCATGAAAAGGTTCGAAGTTGACGCGGAGACTTTGCAAGAGGATGAAACATTCAAGGATTCCTTTACGACCCTCAAACAAACAAAAGAAACGAAGAAAACCGAAAAGTTGGCAACCATATCAGAAATTCAATCATCGATCACCGTAGAAACAGCCCAATGCGTCATTTCATCTAATAACGAAGAAAAGAAAATCGAGAAAGCTTCAGCGCTTGTAAACCTCCAATCAAAGACGACCGCTGATATCGTCAAAGATGATGTTTCAGCTCAAAACACCGACAGTTCTATCAAATTAACCAAAGTCGTGTCCGACATTGACGTTGCCTCGGAATATTTATCGGAAACTGGATCTCAACAAGTCAAAGAACAGCAAGAAACAGCCAAAGAGGATTTAAGTCAGCAAATTAACGATGAAAAATTAGAGGAAGAAGCCGATAAAATCAAAGAAAATTCAGAGAAAGCCAAACAGTACCTTATTGAAGAACTTAAAAATGAAAAGTTAGTAAGTGAGCTATTAGTCACTTCGGATAAGATTATCATTGAACAAAGTGTTTATAAAGAAAAGAAAGATGGCGTGTCTACCGTTCAACAATCTACTTCAACTGAGAAGGTTCACGAAATTGTATCGAATCAAAAAGATGATGGTTCTCTACAATTGACCGATACGGTTTCTAAGGAGCTCACTAATAAAGATACCAAATTACCGGAAAGCAAGTCAATCATTGAAACTGCCGTGACCTTATCTTTCCTCCGAAAAACATCATCCGCGGATTCATCACCAGAAGTAAAACAGAAATTCGAAAAGGCGAAGCAATATTTAAGCACTCAAATAAAAGACGAGAAAGTGGAAAAAGAATTATTAGAAATGACCGATCAAATTGTTGTTGACCATGCAACAAAGAAAGTAGTTAAAGAAAAAGCCCACAAAGTAGTACTCGAAAAGGTGCAAGAAACCGTAACCGTAGAAGAGGTTCGTGATTATTATTATTTAATTGAGGAATAAATTAACGCGATGACATTACATTCATACTTACAATCTAATTTTAAATATTTTAGGAAATAAGTACCGAAGACATCACTAATGAAAAAAATAATAAACAGAGCATTGAAAAGCAAATAATTCGACAGCTGAAATTGAATCATGGTTTACTCTTGAATGAATATGGCATACAACCTAGTCAACAGGCTATTTTTAAGGATGATGGTAAATTAAGAATAAGTTCATATAACGAGCAACCTATAGTATATACAAATATAAATGATCCTGATTCTACCGAACAAAATAATTTTAATAATGTTTTACAACCATTTGATGCATGTATTAATTTTCCGATTGCTGAAATTACTTTTAATGGTAGTTTGTTGGATTCTTTTGCGAATAACGACGAAAATTTAAATGAATCATTTGGTCAATTTTTTGTAAAGAATGTTTCAGTTGGTGATAAATTATTTATCAAGGGATATAACACAGCTACACAAACACAAATTGACCTCTTAAAGTTTTATTTATTATGTGTTTATAATTTAGCTAAATTTCATAACACATTTTCTCCACTCAATAACTTTTCCGCTTTTCAATTTCTAAGGATAGAAACATTGGATGGAAAAGAACTAGATACTCCTAAAAAGTTGGCAGATTGGATGAAAAATTTATATCAAAATAACAACTTTGACATAATTTCTTATGATAATCTCATTCCTATTTCTCAATTAAAACGCGACGAACTTTCAGAAATTAACCTTGAAGCTCCAATAGAAAAGCAGCCTGGAGTTGCTAATTTTAAGGAGAAATTAAGTTTTGAGTCGTGGATTAGAAATGTTATTGATGTTGATTTAGCAAGATGGATTAAATTTCTTCCTCAATGTCTAGTGATTAATAATAAGTCATACAAATTGGAAACGAGCAAAAAATTTGCGGCTAATTTCATCAAAGTACCCGATATAAAATCAAGCGACAAATCTTATTTAGAATTCAGACCAACGACAAAAGTGGAGGAAGAATTGATGATCAATAATATCTTTTCAATTAAAGATTTAAGCCTATTTCCCTTTGTTGATAGGGTTATTGAGTCTGATGATTCAAGTTATGACGAATATAATTTGCTCGTCAAACTTGAAAAGTATGAAATCCTTATAAATAGGGATCATGTTAAACCTTCAATAGAATTTGTGCAAGCTATAAACGATGCACTTGAAAGTGTGGAACCATTTGAAGATTTACAAATTGTATTTGAAGAATATGGTCATTTGTTTGCTCAAAAAATTATTTTGGGAAGGATTTTTAAAAGGAATGTACCAAATGCTGTTACTTGTAAAATTGATTTAACATCGCCGATAGTTGAGTCTTTAGAACCATATTTAAATAAGTTAAATATTCCATATCTTTTAACGCAGCAAGGAAATATCATTGAAAAAAATGAACTATTTGATTTGATACAACATTTTGATTCGATACAACATTTAAATGATTTGGAAATCATTGAATTAGATGAAATCATTCCTCTTTATAAAATTCTTGATGAACAGCAACAAAGTAAAATTGATATTATTTTAAATTCCATTAACTCTACTCATAGTAAAATAAGCAAGTCTTCGTGTATTAGAAGTAATTCTTTTTAATTTTGTATTATATAGCTTTAAAAATTTAACTTGATATAATAAAAATAATACCTTTTTTTTGAATATAAATCATGAGCCGGGTCAATAGTCATTGTATTTTAACCTCTTAAAGCTTTAAATTTCGATCCCATCATTCGAACAACTACTGCCTTTACAGGAAAGAAAAGAACGACTAATATTGTAATTAACATAACTTTTCTTGATATAGCGGAATGTTCGTCGTCAAAAAAATTCCAAATTGTTCATTTTATTTATATTTTTATTTCCATCTATATATTTACTTTATTATAAATCGACCTGGAGTTTTAAACCAAAATAAGATTTAGGAATTTCAACCAATAAATAATAATGTACGCAAGTGTAGTGATTGGAACCCGGTTAATTTAACCGGTTAAAGCGGTTAACATGACATGTTAACCGGTTAAAATAGATAAATTTAACTCCGGCCGAAATTCAATTTCCGGCCAGAATTAAGATTTTTATGATTGCAAAAATATTGTCTAACTCCAGCCAAATTTATAGTACTAGCCTTAATTTTAACCGGTCGGTTAACTCTCGAATTTTTTTAACCGGTTATTAACCGGTTAAAGAATTTTTGGCCGGTTCCAACCTCTACACATAGCTGATAGGTTCAGTTGTAATATTACTACGTCTCTTTCTTAAAGGCGTATCCTAGGATAAAAGTTTATTTGTTTGGTCATTAAGACTTTACTTTGGTCCAACATAGAGGTTGGAACCGGTTTTATTTTCACAAACCGGTTTTAATCACTTTTTTAATTTGAGACCCGGATTTAAACCGAATTTAAATAAAACCGGTTAAACCGAGCATTCGGTTGTAATAAACCTGAAAACCCGAATTATGATAAACTTTAAAATGCAAAATAATATTAACAAAAAAAAATTTATTTTTATTTAATTTTATTAAAAGAAAAGAAAAAAATATTAAACTAATTACATGTTCAAATGATAGATAAAAAAATTAGATATCTTGAGAAAAAATATTAAAATGATTACTATTTCTCTTTAAAAATAAAACTTGATTCACTAAATCCAAAGATAATTGAGTACGTTTTACTGAGATAAAGTTATCTGCATTTGAAAACAATCTTTCGCTAGATACAGAAGTTGTAGGAATGGATAGGTATTTTTTTGCAAGTTGTGATAAAATATAAAAATTGTTTTTGTTTACATCCCACCATTTTAAAGGATCTTCTTTAATATCAATTTGCTGAAGTTTTATATAACGCGAAACTTCATTATCCTCTTCAACTTCAAATGAAGTTTCTTTATTTTCTAAAATTTTAAAAAAATCATCATCATCATAATTACTATTAATTGCCAGTTGAGTATTAGAATATTGTTGAGGTTCAAGAGCTTTTTTTGAATCATATAGTTGTTGCAATAATTCATGTGACTTAATTTTTGCTTCATCACTAGAATCCCAATGAAAATTTTTAAACCGAGAATCGAGTATTGTTGCAACTAGTACTAATTCTGTTGGAATAGACCACAATTCATCTAATGATAAAAAAATAGCTGCCCGAACTTTCTGAAGAAGACCATTAGTATTAACAGCTGGTAAATATTCAACATGATTAATATCGTCAATATCTACATTTTTTGTTGTAATTTTAGGATTTTCTTGAGTTTTTCTATTACTATAATTATTTT